CATTTTTATATATCTTTACTGCTCCCAGTGTCTACCTGTTTTTTGACATCTCTACTGGAATGTCTTTCTCTCTTTTTAAAATTTACTTATTTATTTGAGAGCGAGAGAGAGCACGAGCAGAGGAGGGGCGGGGGGGGGGAGAGAGAGAGAGAGAGAGAGAGAGAGAGAGAATATCCCAAGCAGGCTCCATGCTGTCAGATTATCCATGAACCATGAGATCATGACCTGAGCTGAAATCAAGAGTCGGATGCTTAACTGACTGAGCCACCCAGGTGCCCCTGGAATATCTCTTACATAGGCATCTCAAATTTTGTAGCACAAAAACTTGAACTCCTCTCCTTTCCAGTCTCCTTTCCCAGCCTTTCATGTCTCAGTTATTGAACTGGGAGTTATTCTTTATAACATCTTTCCTTCATTTCCCATATCCGGTCTTATAATTCTCCTTCTCAGAGGGTTCCCAGATCCAGTTACTTGTCTCCCATTTCTGTTGCTACTGCCATCACTTCAGAGGATTTCTGACTGGACTCCTCTGTTCCTTCCCTCATGTAAGCTTAAAAGTGATATTTTATAAATTTGTGTTTGATTATGTTGCTCCCCTGCTTAAACTCTTCCGTATCTTTCCATTTGCTCTTACAGGTTGATGCCCTTGCCATATGCTTTTTTTTTTCTTTTTTAATTTTTTTAAGGTTTATTCTTTTTTCAGAGACAAAGTGTGAGTGGGGGAGGGGCAGAGAGAGAGAGGGAGACACAGAATCCAAAGCAGGCTCCAGGCTCCGAGCTGTCAGCACAGAGCCCAATGCGGGGCTCAAACTCAAAAACCACAAGGCAAGATCATGACTTGAGCTGAAGTCGACTCTTAACTTGACTGAGCCACCCAGGCACCCTAACCCTTACCGTAAGCCACCTGTGAACTTGCCCTTGTCTTTCTCTTTATTTTATTATTATTATTTTTTAAAGGAGTATGTTTTTATTTATTTATTAAAAAAATTTTTTTTAACGTTTACTTATTTATTTTTGAGACAGGGAGAGACAGCATGAACGGGGGAGGGTCAGAGAGAGAGGGAGACACAGAATCTGAAACAGGCTCCAGGCTCTGAGCTGTCAGCACAGAGCCCGACACAGGGCTCGAGCTCACGGACCGCGAGATCATGACCTGAGCCGAAGTCGGATGCTTAACCGACTGAGCCGCCCAGGTGCCCCATCTCTTTAATACTCTTGTACCACACTTCCCCTGTCTAAGCTGGTACCCCACTGGATATCTTTCAGCCCCTAGTACCCAGCACACTTTTTTTTTTCTTCATAACCTTTCTTGTTTTTAATATTTCTTTAAATATTTTAGAATCTTAGGCAGGCTCCACACTCATTATGGAGGCAGGTGCAGGGCTGGATCCCACGATTTGGGGATCATGACCTGAGCCGAAATTAAGAGGTGGATGCTCAACCAACTGAGCCACCCAGGCACCCCTCCTCATAACCTTTCTTAAACATACATTCATCTGCCTGGCATGTTACTCCCACCCACACTTTTAAGTCCTGAAAATCTCAGCTTGTGCATTTCTCTTAGAAATGCTCCTCCTGACTACCATACTTTTAAAAAGCCCCTTGGTTATTCCTTCTCATAGAACTCTGGGTCCCCTTTCCCATCATGAAGGACAGGGTCCTGTCAGTTTTCTTCAACGTATACTCTGCCTGGCTCAGTGTGTAGCATATATGTGTGCAGTAAATATTTGGGACTCAATGAATCAGATAGGGAAATACTGTAGGTTAGCAAGGTGTAGACAATTTAGGGTAATACATAATTCTGTCTTGATATTTTTATGAGTTATTTTAATGAGCCACTAGTATCTGACTATCTTTCTTGCTTAATCCAGATCAGAGTGTAGTAACTTGAGAGAGAATCATAAAGATTATTTGTTTTTCTCTCATTAATACATTGTGAGAGCTATTTGTAGGCAACTGAAAATGCTTTCTTTATTGGTTGATATAATGTGAATTATTACTTGTGCCCCAGTCATCCATGAAGAGAATATCACTAGATGACCATGGGTTGTTTCTGTTTGTATTGAGGAAACATGTTAATAATCTGGTTTTAAGTGCCAGCATTTTCTTTCATTCCTATCTAAAGCCTCTGTTCTTACAATCAATAATTAATATTTCCTTGCCTCAAGGAAGGGAAGGGTCATGACTGTTTTATGTGGGCTAATAAGCCTTCCTTTTTTTAAAATGTGATTATTGTGAAGAATTTGACTCTAATATAAAAATTTTACATTTCTGGGGCCTGGGTAGCTCAGTCACTTAAGCATCTGACTTCGGCTCAGGTTGTGATCTCAAAGTTCTTGAGTTTAAGCCCTGCATCGGGCTCTCCGCTAAAAGCTCAGAGCCTGGAGCCTACTTCAGATTCTGTGTCTCCCTCTCTCTCTGCCCCTCCCCTGCTTGTGCTCTTTCTCTCTCTCAAAAAATAAATAAACATTTTTTAAAAACTAAAGATTTTACATTTCTCATTTCTTTCTTAGGCTCACTTAAGAATCATGTTGTATTAACACTTTAGTACTGATACATGGTTTCTGTTGTCTCCTCATCAGTGCAATTTAAGTGATCATTGTAGCTTGTGGATGGGCAAGTTAGCTAGCAAACATTCTTGCAAGAAGCTCCTAGTAAAACAAAAATCACAAATTGCCTGAAGAGGCTAAGCTTTAGGATACTGTTTATTTTATAACTTTGGCAACTGAAGGGTTTTTGTTTGGTTGGTTGTTCTTGTTTTTTAAATATTTTATTTTTAAGTAATATCTACATCCAGTGCCCAGCTCACACCCTGAGATCAAGAGTCACACACTTCACCAACTGAGCCAGCAAGGCACCCACAACTGAAGTTTTTTAAGCTGAAAATATTACTTTGCCTGTGAATGTGGCATATTATCTTTAAATGACCAGTAGATTATTATTTTTTTCTTTCTTTCCAGTGTTCTTGAATTGTCTCAATATTCAGCAGGAACTATTTGTTTGGAGGCAAAGAACAGTAAGGGTTTGGAACATATATCATAAACTGAATATAACTCAGTATGGAAGTAGAGTTCTATCAGCCACTCCTTTTAGGTGTAAATGCTGCTGATAGTGTGTATTATGGAAAAATTTACTTATCTCACTTTTTGTGTGGGTATTAGACATTTGCGTAGTTATAGCATTGTAGAAAACGTACTTTCTTTGGCCTGTGAGTACAAAAACTTTCCTTCTTCCCACCTGAAAGACTCCATCCTCAGAATAAAGAGTGGAGTGCTAAAAAGAAATGTGGCAGTTGGATAATTGGTAACTCAGTCTGGTCTACATAACTCCTTTTCCTAAGATAAGTCCTGGAGTCCCTGTCTGCATTTTGTATTTCTGAAGTGTAAGGATCAAGAATAGTGTTAACTCATTAACAGATTACTAGAGTCTGAGCAATTTGTGGAGAAAGCAAAATCCAAATGAAAACATGGATCTTCTAATTCTGTTCAATTAGCACGTGCTTATTTAAAACCACTATACATAAGACACTCTGAGCCCATTGGGAGAGTCAAATGATTGGAGATATATTTCTGTGTTTTAGGAACATTGGGGAATATACAGAGAAGTTTAAAATCCCATGACTCTCCACCCAAATCTAGTGTTTTGAAGTGTTTTTCTTTTCCTCCTATAAACTTTAACTTTTTGGAAGTTTCCAAGGTCTGGTGCAGCCAGGTAGAGACACTTGCTTAAATTCTCCAGGAAGTGGGAATTATTGAATAATTTCCATTACTGAATAATTTCACTGTAACAATTATAATGGTCTATAGTAGAAGTTTTTAGATTCCTTACTTTTCTGTAATTTGGTTAGGTCAACACAAGGATGTGTTTTGTTAGCCAGAATACAAAATCTGCAGGCTAGAATGGTCTTGACGAGTTTTATTGGGGGGAAATACGGCATTTGGAAGAGTAGGGAGCAAAAGGAATCTCAGGCAAGGGGGAAAGTCCCTGGGGACAAAAAAAGTTTGTAATGGACTCAGTGTTCACATATATCTAATCAGACCTGTGGTCTTAGCTTACATGTTTTCAAGATTTATCAGTCCTTCTTCTATAATTATCATGCTCTTGATTTTATTTTTAGACATGATATTTCATGTATCTTGAAGTTTAAAATAACAAAGTAGAAATGAAATTATTTTGTTTGAGAAGGGGTTAAAAGGTTGAATAATGTTGATCTAAATAATGATTTCCTAAGAGAGATCCAGGAAATTCCCAGAAGTTGTCTGGTTCAGAGAACAGTTCTCAGGATTAGCAAGAGAAATTGAGGAGTCCCAGAGAGGGGCTCTGGTCAGAACCATTTGATCCTCACAAAAGAATGGATAAAAACAATTTAAACCACAAAATGTGGGTGTTCATTATTATAGATAAGGTAAAGTTGGTGCCATTGGCTAACATGATGGTAGAGAAATATTCAGATGAATATAGCATTTTCCATTCTCTGAAATATTTAGGCTAAGTTCCTAGTTTCTGACAGACATCCTTAGCATCTTTAAGCATTCTAAGATTCATTATTTAAAAAAAAAAATAAGACTATAATAAAGTGATGGCATTCGAATTTTTTAACTACCCTTTGTCCTAGAACCCTAATCACTGTTCTCATTTTTGCATGTTATCTTCTAACCTTTGGTTGTATGCATACTTCCTTAGTGGTAGTACTTTAAGAATTACAAGGGGGGCACCTGGGTGGCTCAGTCGGTTAAGTGTCTGACTCTTGATTTTTTTGGCTCAGATCATGATCTCATGATTCCTGAGTTCAAGCCCCACATTGAGCTCCACACTGACAGTGTGTCAGTGTGGGATTCTGTCTTGGGATTCTGTCTCTCCCCCTCTTTCTTTGCTCCTCCCCTGCTCATTCGCTCTCATTCTCTCTCTCTTTCTCTCTCAACGTAAATAAAAAAATAAAATATTAAAAATTAAGAAGAAACTGAGATCTAGCAGATTAAGAATCCATTTCTCTTTTTAAGGTATGTGTTGGGTGGTGGAGCACTATGTATGGAACTTCTCACAAAACAGGTAACTAATTTCTTATGATACTCATATTTTTCAATCTCAATGGAGTGTTTTGATGATGTAAATTAGATTCTGAGGGGAAAGACTCTGATGTAATACCACCCACTTAAAAAAAAGTTGTTTTCAATAGCACCTACTTTTAATAATGAAAAAGCTATTTAAGGCAAATCAGTAAAATGACATTGTACTTGGTGTTTAATCTATGCAAGGATAGCCATTCTAAGAGCAATGTGTATATAAGGTTCTAATTTGCTCATATTTGATACTTAGAATATAGGGGTTTTTTTGTTTTACGAGATTTTAGAAATGGTCCAACTTTTTTCTCTTGCATGCAGACTTCTTAACATTGTCTTGCTGTTGTAGAGCTATTTATGTGCCATTTTGTTAAGTTTTCCCAAGTGGGAATCAAGAGTACCATTATGTTTTAGAGAAGTGTTTTCTTCTTCCTGTAGGGCTGGAGCAGTGCCTACTCAATAGAATCAGTCATCATGCAAATCAATGCTACCTTAGTCAAAGGCAAAGCCAGAGTACAGTTTGGAGCAAATAAGGTACTTTTATTAAGACGATGACATAATCATTTATAATCCATATTTTCTGTTACCTTAGGAGACGTGTTGTTCTTTTAGTCTTTGTTATTCTTACTATAGAAAGACATGTCTATAATTGTAAATCTATTATTGGTATGTAAGTTAAAAAATACTAGTAAAAAAATTATACATACTTTGAAGTTTCCCAAACTTGAGATCATGTTAGAATAGTTAATTTCCAGTGAGCATTTATATGCTAGGCTTTGATCTAAACTTTTTACTTGTATGTACTCTTTCAATCCTTTTACTAACCTAAGAGTAGGTATTATTATTCTCATTTTGTAGATGAGGAGACTGAAGCACACAGAGGTTAGATAACTTGTCTAAGATGACAGGTGGCAGAACAAAAATTGGAAGCAGACAGTCTGGTGTTAGTCTCTACTCTTAACCACTGTGTTGTGTTCTTTATTCACTATATCCGAAACATCTTTCCATGTCTAATTGTAGTTTCCCGAAACAGTTAAATGGACCAAGGACGATACTCTGAAGTTAGTATATCTTGCAAAAGTATTTGTGTGATGGAAGTTATCCTAACCTAACATTTTTAAAAATTTGGAGTTCCTAAAGGTCTGTGAATCTTGTGTTAAATGCCTATCCAAATAGTATGAAATCTAAATAATGTATTTATAAATGTATTGCACATCAAAGCATGAGTCCACTAGAGTCTTAACTCACAGAGGAAGCAAAAAATTGAGAAGGCCATTTGAAAAATCATCTATTTGGGATCGTACTATACAATAACTCATTTTACTTGAGTTCTTTTAACAGCTATTTCTTTGCACTGGAATAAAATATCATTTTGTGTAAAGTCTAGAAGTTAATTATTGAACACTAGTGAATTACTTAACTACATTTAACTAGCATTTCTTAACAGTGTGTATATTTTAGGTGTATTAAATGTGCCGATAGAATATGTAGTAGGCTATTAGAATTTTATTTTTTGTATTGACAAAATTTATGCGCAGCGCATGGTTTTTAATATAGGAAAAAATATAAAAAACTGAAGTCATCTGTAACCTAGAAATACTATTAACATTTGGTTTACTTCTTCTGGTCTTTTAAATTTCTTCCTGGTATTTATTTTTATGTAGAACTTGATGTTAAATTTCATCATGTTTTTATAAAAAATTAGCATATCTTTCATGTTAAAATATAAAAGGCTTAGATCGTTTTTAGTAATTGAAAGAACATTTTAGGGGTGCCTGGGTGGCTCAGTTATGTGTCTGACTTCAGCTCAGGTCATGATCTCGTGGTTCACGAGTTCGAGCCCCATGTCAGGCTCTGTACTGACAGCTCAGAGCCTGGAGCCTGCTTCAGATTCTGTGTCTCCCTCTCTCTCTCTGCCCCTCTCCCACTCATACTCTGTCTCAAAAATAAATAAAACATTTAAAAAACAAAAAAAGAAAGAACATTGTACTAATAACTCACTGTGTAAACTTACCTCTTCTGGGCTTCTGTATCTTGAGCTAAAATATTTTAAGTCTCTTCTAGTTTTAAAATTCTGTAATATCAATACTCTGTTCAGTGCCACAGTTCTCTTGGAATTACTCAGTGTCAATGTTATCACTTTCAACCTTTATATTTCCATTATATATAGTTTTCTTAGCAAGTATATAACATAACCATTTTATATATAATGCTAAGTCAAGCGGCTAAGCACATTTGCCTCGTAAAGTATGTCTTAGAAGGTGAATTTTTTCAATGAATGGTTATAAAACCTCACTCTTCATTTTTTTCTTGTTATTAATATCTGTTAAGAATTTGGAAACTTTACATGATGTAATAGGAGTTTTACCTTATACACTTTAAAATTTTTTTTAATGTTTTATTTATTTTTAAGACTGACAGAGCAGGAGTGGGGAGGGGCAGAGAGAGAGGGAGACACAGAATCCAAAGCAGGCTTCAGGCTCTGGGCTGTCAGCACAGAGCCCAATGCGGGGCTCGAACTCACGAACTGTGAGACCATGACCTGAGCTAAAGTTGGACGCTTAACCAACTGAGCCACCCAGGCGCCCCTACCTTGTAGGCTTTTAAACTCTACAGGATAATCAAGAAAGTACTAACAACTATTTCTGATATGGGGGTATTGAAGTATTGATGGGGCAGGTTAGAGATGGGAGACTTTAAATCATTTGTGCTCTTTCTTGTGACATATAACTATTCAAAAATATTTTAAATATTAAAAAAAAAATTTTAGTGTTTTATTTGTTTTTGATAGAGACAGAGTGTGAATGGGGGAGGAGAGACAGAGTGTGAATGCTGTCTGCACAGAACCTGACCCAGAGCTCAAACTTTTGAACCACAAGAATCATGACCTGAGCCAAAGTCCAACACTTAACCGAGTGAGCTACCCAGGCACCCCTATTTAAAATATTTTTAAAGATACTATCAGCTATTGGTTCAAAATAAATGAATGAGTTTATCTCTTGAAAATATTACTAAAGGGGCGCCTGGGTGGCTCAGTCGGTTAAGCGTCCGACTTCAGCTCGGGTCACGATCTCGCGGTCCGTGAGTTCGAGCCCCGCGTCGGGCTCTGGGCTGATGGCTCGGAGCCTGGAGCCTGCTTCCGATTCTGTGTCTCCCTCTCTCTCTGCCCCTCCCCCGTTCATGCTCTGTCTCTCTCTGTCTCAAAAATAAATAAATATTAAAAAAAAAAAAAAAGAAAGAAAGAAAATATTACTAAAATGATACACCTAAGTACTGGAAAACAAAAAAATTGGCTGTCAGCACACATAAAATTTGGAAATAGGGTAAGATTGATGGAGCTGAGGATCTGCAACTCTATGCAAGCAAGAGTCACTCATTGTACAGTCTTGCCATTAGCTTGCTCCCCTAGACTCAGCCAGCAGGAGCTGAGAGCAAGCCATAAGGCAGAGGATGTTGGCCTGGGCTGGTTTTCTGGTCAGTTAACAGGGGATACAGGCTATAACATTAACTCTAGGCTGTAGTGGTAAGAAAGCTTTCTAGAGTTCTGCTATTATGACTTAGCAAGAATTTGGGGTTTGGATAAGCAAGGTAGTACCCTAACAAATGTTCATTCACCGCATGGAGGGCATGATAGTTAAGTTAAATAGTGAAATCCTAGAGCACACAACTCTTGGAGCAGCCCCTAAGCTATTTCTAACAAAGACACCTATCATACCCTGCTCCTAATGGACCTCCAGTTATTTAACGTAGAGAATTCTGTGGTGAATGATCACCTTCAGATGAGACATCTGGTTTTTGTTTTTTCCTTTCAAGGAATGGAGAGGTGCTACCTGTACTAAGTATTCCGGTGTTTTATTTATAAATGAGCAAGGTTGGCAAACCAAATGTGAGAACCTTGCATAATCCTGAGATTCTCCCAAGGAAGCTAAGATGATCTCATGTTAGTTAGTTATATCCACAGTTCTCATCAGAAGCAGGCACAGATACTCCTCGGAGGAAAAGCTTTTCTGATTTAAGCCTACAAGATTCTCAGATATTAAGATCAAGCAAATAAGAATTCAGTGTGAAAAATCCCAAGCACACAAGTAAGCAAGCCAGCATAATGAGAATTGGCAGAAACAATACGTAAGAGATATATATTCCCAAAGACTTTAGGTTTTGGAATTATCAGACACAGAATAGAGACTTTAGATATTAGAATTATGAGAAAATGAATAGTTCTATGTAAAACATAATATAAAGAAAAAAGCATCCTAAAATTGAGCAAACAATGAAACCATCAGGTATAATGAGACAAATTTGAAAAAAGAATGAAACAATTTATAGAAATGAAAAATATGATTGAAATGAGAAACAATGTGTGGATTAGGTATCAAAGAGAATTGGTTAGAAGAAATAACTCAATGTTGTACAGCTAAGAAGAACATGGGGATAGACATTGTGGTAGAAGTTGAGAGCTAACAATCAGAAGGAGGTCTAAGATGTCTTATTGGAACTCCAGGAGGAGATAATAAAATGTTAAAAAGCAAGAGAAATAGAAACCAGGAAGTAAGGTGGTAAGGAAAGTCACAAGAAAAAATGGACTAAAGTTACCAGTTAGAATGAATAAAACAAAATCTGGCAATTTTTAAGAAGTATGTTTAAATTATAAGGATGAAAAAACACTGAGTTTTGTTTTTTAAATTTTTTTTTGTTTCTGAAAGAGAGAAAGAGAGCATGAGGAGGGGAGGGGCAAAGAGAGAGGGAGACACAGAATCCTAAGCAGGCTCCAGGCTCTGGGCTATCAGCGCAGACAGAGCCTGATGTGGGGCTCAAACTTGATGTGGGGCTGGAACTCGTGAACTCCAAGATCATGACCTGAGCCTAAGTCAGACGCCCAACTGACTGAGCCACCCAGGTGCCCTCTTTTCTTTTTTCTTTTCTTTTCTTTTCTTTTCTTTTCTTTTCTTTTCTTTTCCTTTCCTTTCCTTTCCTTTCCTTTCCTTTCCTTTCCTTTCCTTTCTTTTCTTTTCTTTTCTTTTCTTTTTTTATTGAGAGGGGATAATACAGATATGCCAGTATACACTTATAACAACAACAAAATATGTGATATATATGTATAGTATCAAAATAGGATTTTGGAACAGAAAGCACTACTTAATGATAAAAGTCTCAGTTAACCAGGAGGTATAATAATATTTTACTTTACCTATTAAAATAGCATCAAAATACAGACAAAAAAAAACTTGATGAATGAAACTAAGAACATTGTGTGTTGACTATTTTTAAAAAAAGAAAAAAAGAAAGACTGGTGAAACCACAGGAGAAATTGACCCAGGTAACCATAATGAGAGATTTTAGTGTACCTTGTTCATAGTAAATTAAATATGTCAAAATGTAGAAGATTTGAATAACCAATTAAGTTTGGTCAAATGGACAGATGTAGAACTCTGTACCCAATAATTAGATACTATATAATCTTTCCCAAGCATTTATGGAATATGGGGAAAAATTATAAATTCATAAATTAAGAATATTTAAAAAGAAGCCATATAATTTGAATATGATACAGTTAAGGTTAGAAGACAGTAATGAAAAGATTAATAAAAATCTGCATGAATTTGGAAATTAAACACAATTCTAAATCATGGTTAAAAAATCATATGAAAATTTAAAAAGACTTAGAACTGAACCATAATGAAAATACTAAAATTCTCCCTTTGTCCCTCTCTCCTTCTTTCTCCTCATCTCTCTTCTTCTCTTCCTCTTCCCTTCTTCTCTTCTCTCTCTCTCTGGAACATTCGTGAAACTTATCCTCTTCAATGAAGAAAACTTCATTGTAGTTTTCTTCATTTTTGGAAGTAGGAAAAGGACAGATCATTTTCTGATCCTAATTAAATAAAAAACTATAATAACCAGCTCAAAACAAATGTCCCTTTTGTGGAATTATGGGACTCAAACAGCCCTTAATGGGGCTTTGAAATGAAGACTGCAGAATAGCTAGAGAATAGCAATGAAATGCCTACATACTAGAAACTAAATGAGAGGGCAGAGGGAATACTCCTTGCTCTAAAATCCTTGTATCATTGGGGCGCCTGGGTGGCGCAGTCGGTTAAGCGTCCGACTTCAGCCAGGTCACGATCTCGCCGTCCGTGAGTTCGAGCCCCGCGTCAGGCTCTGGGCTGATGGCTCAGAGCCTGGAGCCTGTTTCCGATTCTGTGTCTCCCTCTCTCTGCCCTTCCCCCGTTCATGCTCTGTCTCTCTCTGTCCCAAAAATAATAAACGTTGAAAAAAATAATAATAATAAAAAAAAAAAATAAAATAAAATCCTTGTATCATTAAAAAAAAAAAAAAAAAGAAAAGAACAAGAATGAATCAGACCTCAAAGTCAGTGTTAGAAAGGACAATCAAGGGGCACCTGGGTGGTTCAGTTGGTTAAGCATCTGACTCTTGATTTCATCTCAGTCATGATCTTCTAGTTCGTGGGTTTGAACCCCACATCAGGATTCTCTCTCTCCCTCTGTCCCCCCTCCATCACACACACTCTCTCTCAAAAATAAATAAACATTTTTTTAAAAAAGTACAGAAAAGGCACCTGAGTGGCTCAGTTGGACTTTGGCCCAGGTCATGATCTCCCAGTCCATGGGTTTGAGCCCCTCATCGGGGTCTGGGCTAACAGCTCAGAGCCTGGAGCCTACTTCAGATTCTATGTCTGTCTGTCTGTCTCTCTCTCTGTCTCTCTCTCTCTGTTCCTCCCCCAATTGTGTTCTCTTTCTCTCAAAAATAATAATAATTAAAAAAACTGAAGGAAAGTAGAAGGGAGGGTTTAATAATGATATATGCAGAAATCAGTGAGTTAGAAAATAGGGCTAACTCCCCATTACACTAAAGCCCCTGCAGTAACATTCTCTTTAAACTAGAATTTGAAGGGGCGCCTGGTTGAGCGTACAACTTCAGCTTCAGGTCATGATCTCACGGTTTGTGAGTTCAAGCCCCGCGTGGGGCTCTGTGCTGACAGCTCGGAGCCTGGAGCCTGCTTCAGATTCTGTCTCCTTCTCTCTCTACCCCTCCCCCACTTGTGCTCTGTCTTTTTCTATCAAAAATAAATAAACGTAATAAAAATAAATTAAAAAAACTAGAATTTGAAGATCATGCTATTGACAACTGAGAAGGCTAATGTTCTTATTTTTCTCTTCTTGTAGATGGGCAGTAGGGTTATGAAATGACTGCTTTTTGATCATTTGCAAGTTTCTGTGTGTGCATGTTTTGCTATATGTAATCTGTTTCTTTTGTATTTTTGTCCTTTGGTGAAAATATAGATTGGAAAAACATTACTTTTTATTAACTTGGAAAGAACATTTTATGTTTGTTTTTCAGATGCATTATGGGAGGGTTTTTACTATTTTTAAAGAGCTCTTAGAAATTCAAAAAGGCTACACTGTAGAAAAAGATACAAAACGTCTATTTGCAGAAATAGAAATAAATGGCTTATAAACATATGGAGACACACTAAGCCTGGCTCAGTGATAGAAATGCAAATCTCACTTACACTGAGAGTTCATCATCCACCTATGACATTGTCACAAATAAGAGGTTTGTAAAAGCTATGTAGAGGCATTCTCATACATGCCAAGCAGCAAGCCCATTTCCACAGTCTTACAAAATTACAAAGGCATATGTCTTTTGACCCAGCAATTCCACTCAGACTATTTACCAGTGCTTTGGAAATATTTGTACAAGGTTGCTCACTGTAACATTGTAACAAAATATTGAAAACAACCTAAATGTCCTCCAGTTGGGGAATAAATAAATATTTGACTTTCCATACAATGGAATATTTCACGGTTTAAAAAAACAGAAAGATTCAGCTTTTTGTGCAGTGATCGGGAACAAGGTGCAGGATACCTTAAGTGAGAAGAGGCAGAACAGGGTCTATAGCATGCTACCTACCATTTGTTGGGGGGTGATAAACAAGGGATGGTGGCTAGTAACATAAGCTATATGTGACTTTTCTTATTTAATCTTAAGGAGATGTAAGAAACCGTTAACTTGGGTAGGGAAAGGAGGATGGATGAGAGGAGGAGCTGGATGGTTGGAGGACAGGTAGGAAGGAGAATTTTCACTTAGAATGTTTCATACATTTTTAATTTTTGTACTGTGAATTTATTCTATAACATAATAGGTATGTACCACTATGAAGAATGCTCATGACATATTAATTGTAGGTTATGATGTCACTCAGTTGCACTACTAGAGAAAAAATTAATCCTAAATTTGGCTCCTTAAAAGAAGACTCCTTTAGTAATGGCTTGGTACCACTTATGGACATCTTTAACTCAAGATGTCATTGATATGTATAGTCCTCAAAGCTTAAAGTTAACCTTATCTGAAGGTAATATTTTGTAATTTTGTTTTTTGTTTTATTATGAGGAGGAGAGTTCAAGTTTTATTCATGTCTGAGTAGCATTGTTTAACTTCATTCATCAGTGGAGAAGGGCACTAGAACTATAAAGCTTTGTACTTGTCCAGTGGTAAGAGTATTTATACAAATGAACTGTGAAGCTTAGATTTTTATTGTAGTACAACTTTGGTTTTGTTATCCTAAAGTGGTAGAGAATAATGAAATTGAGAAATGAGGGTATTAAGTTAAAATTATTTTTGAAACAGAAATCTAATTTAGTTTCCGGTGTTCTTTTAAGCATAGTGATGATGCATCCGTAAATTATTTGTAATGATTTTCATCTACTCAGAGTTTTTATTTAAAATGTATAATTCTCTTTCAGAATCAGTATAATCTAGCAAGAGCCCAACAATCCTATAATTCCATTGTACAGATACATGAGAAAAATGGTACGTTTAATTCAATAAGTATTTATTACCATTTATGAAGTTTTATATAAGGTACTATTGATAACTTACCCTGTTTGTTTTTGCTTTAATCTCTTAAAGTACTGTTACCCCAGTGAAAAAAATTAACTTGAGGATGCACACACTCTGCTTTATTGAAAAATCTTTGTATCCTAAGTACTTGGCCTAAGTCAGAGTCAAGATTTTTTAGTAGATTAATGAATGAATCACTTCTCACTTGAAATGTATGGTATTAGGGTAGGAATTGAGTTAAAGGCAATTGTACAGGTGGAGTTCTTACTGATACTGAGTAAATACAATTGGGATCCTAAACCAGCTGTTTCTGAAACATCTTCAGATTATTTAATGCTTTTTGACAGTCATACACATGTATCTGTTCAAGGAACATTTTCATTTTAGTATACACTTAAGAGTATTTGAGTTGTAAATTTAAAAAAACTCTTAAAATATCTTTCATAAACTTTATTCTACTTTAAATTTTGGGGCGCCTGGGTGGCGCAGTCGGTTAAGCGTCCGACTTCAGCCAGGTCACGATCTCGCGGTCCGTGAGTTCGAGCCCCGCGTCGGGCTCTGGGCTGGTGGCTCGGAGCCTGGAGCCTGTTTCCGATTCTGTGTCTCCCTCTCTCTCTGCCCCTCCCCCGTTCATGCTCTGTCTCTCTCTGTCCCAAAAATAAATAAAAACGTTGAAAAAAAAAATTTTTTTAAAAAAATAAATTTTGCTTGTATTTATAATGCACGTTTTGAGTCTTCTTCTCTAACAGTGAGGTAGATTTGGAATTAGAAAACCCAATTTTTCAAGTGCCATTTGTGTTAGTCGCTAGCCCTGTGTCTCTGAGCAAGTCCTGAAGATAATAGCTTCAGCCTTAGTTTCTTCATCTCTAAAATGGCATATCTGTCTTGCCAAACTTGTGAGGAAAAAAAGAATAGTGTATGCGCATGGCACTTTGAAACTAAGTGCTGATAATAAGATACTCATTATAGCCATGGTAGTGAAACGGATACTTTTTTGTGCAGAGTAAATTAATTAATAGGAAGTAGTTAAGGAGAGTATTTACAGTAAAGTGTTCTTTACTAGAAATGTGGTAGCTTGTGACTTAACATTGGTACTTTGTGCTCACTTTTTTTTTTAACCACAAAACAAACTCCACTTTTTCAGTGACTACTTACAAAAGACTAATATTTAAAACAGTTCAAGCTTTTGAAGAAGGAAATGATAAAACTTGAAGGCAAGCCTGGGTTTTCATAATGATCACAACACACTAAATTAGTAGATCCACAGGTGCTTGTATACTACTTCATAACCATGTGGATGCTCCACCAATCTTGGTATATTCATACTGTTCCAGTGGCCATTTCATGCCAGTCTTATTTTCATTAGCCTTTCTGTAGAAAACTTAGATTTTTGCTGAGTCTAGGAAAAAAAAATCACATTTTTTCTTTTATTTTTTGTTGAAGCAAACATTGTAATCAGCATTCAAAAATGTTTATTGGAAGGTGCTGTATTTTACAAAGTGTGGGTGTTTGTAAGCTTAGCTTTGATGAAAGAGCAGTAGATTCAGAATCAGGAAATGGGTTCTAGGTCGGTTTCTGCTGCTGACTCTGATTTTAGGCATAGTCCCTGCACTTGCTGAAATGACTTCTTCACTGGTGAAATGGTATCCTTGCACTAATGACAATCCAGGTTCCTCTTATTCTAAGATGCCAGCATTTTGTTTTGGGTATAGTTATTTTCAGTGAGGTTGAAATGGAAGACAAACTCTATCTTGTAGTCTAATATTCCATATTATCGTCTTTAGCTAGAAATTCCACTAGTATAAAGATCTTATGTTGAAAACTCAAGTACAGTTTATTAATAGAAGTAAATATGTGCACATAACAAAATGCCGTGTTACCAACCCATGTGAGTTTAATTTTTACAGTATATTTAAACAAAAATATGAGTAGACTAAGTAGCTAACCTTAAATGAAATGCCATTTCTCCTAGTTGATTTAATAAGGTATTTTAACTTTTTTTCCATTGTGTTTCAGGCTGGTACACCCCTCCAAAGGAAGATGGCTAAATATGTTGACTGTCGTATGTTTGGACCAATGTTGCTTTAAAGAAAATCTTTCCAACATGCAGACACAAGCTTTGAGTGCCCCTATAACAGCAGTACTGAAGACGTTAGCTAATAGATATTTTAGTGGATAATCTGTCAACTGACATCCAGTATGAGTTACAGCCTTTTCGTTTTGCTCATTTTAGGTATTGTGGACTGAGCAGTGGGGCCTTTACTGTATTTTTTGTGATAAATACACATACTGGCCACTCATGATCTCTTTTTCTTGAAAAGTGAAATCTGTTAAGCAGAAAGTCAGCATCAGGTTACAGAAGTTGCGACTGTAGGGTAACTTTCCCACATTGAGCTCGTGTGTTATGAGGACTTGCAATATACTGTTCCATTTAGAGCCAATAAAAGTTTAATTGATGTTTAATGTTGGTTTAGAAAATTTAAGGTCTTCTAAATCACAGTAGCTTTTTCAAGTTAAAACCAATTTTTGATATTGCCAAAATAATGATAGGAAGCCTACTCATTAAATTGTTAAACTTTTTTATGGCTAGATGAAGATATGAATTGTTTCCTGAAGATACGCTCTTAACTGAGTTGTGCTTTTTAGGCAAAAGCAAAGCAAGGCTGTGCAAATTAAGGCTTTGTAAGTAATAATTTCCACTGGGGCCTCAGAGTCTTGTTGGGCTGAATCTGCTTCTTGTTGGTTCAGTATTTCTTATGAAGAACTGCAGTATAGAGCTTGAAGTTATTTAAAATACTAAATCATTTTATGTTTCCATTTTATTAACGGGATGTTGCAATCATTTTTAAACTAATAAACTTGTAAAGTGATTGGCACAAAGAATCCTTGAGCAAAAGCTGCACAGTGAAGTACAAAAAGATACCTGATTTGGAAACTCTTAAAATTTTTGGTATACTCATAACGATGGCTTTTACATTGAAAAACTAGTAGGAACTCTATATATGTTCATTGTTTTATAAAACCTGACTCAAATCAGTGTACTCTCCATTTTCTTGCCTTACCTGAATCAGTCCTATTTGGTTGGTGATAGACTTTCTTATCTACCCAAGTTTGATTTAAAAGTAAATTCTAATTATTAAGCACTTTTAAAATGAAATCCAGAAGCACACTTTTCTGCACAAATAAGTTACAAAATTCGAAGGTGTTTCTTATGCATTTGCTCTAAGTTTCAATTTTTAACTTTGTAAACCACACCAGAGAGACTTGGCACTTCGGCATTATTGCATGTGTTTAATTTCTTTTTCTATTTTGGTTAAAAGGACAGTAGAAAAAGATTTTCTGGCATTCTTGTTTACTTGGTTACATTTGTATAAAGATCTGATTGCCAGTTGCTGAGATAATAAGTGACCAGGCAGAGTTCTTTAAAGCATTAAAGTTCCTTAAACCTAAGGCTAAATCTTGAATACATTATTGAATTCTTTAATATCCTGATGGCTAGCAGATTGACAGCTGCACATTTGGCATGCTTTGTTTTTTTGGGTTTTATCTTTCATTGCAAATTTATTTGGCAATGTACAGTAAATTTTGTAAACTTGCATCAAGTTTATGAATAAAGAACCATTTAAAATATAACTTTGTTACTTTTCCCTCATCAGAGATACTCTTGGCTTCAGGTGTTTGTAAGCTCTATTGAATTTTTTGAAATAGGATTTATATATGGTGGGATGGGGTGAGGAGAGGGTTGAGAGGAACAGAGACAGGTTGATTTAACAAGAGAAAGCTAGAGAACCCGGAAATGGTGTGTACAGACTTGGTATACTCAGCTTTCCTCAACCTTTTTCCTCTCCCACTCTCATTCTTTAATATAAGTCCGAGTGCTACTTTCATCATGGCTGTCCCTAGTTCCCCCTTTTTAATATTCCCATGACCTCCTTACACAGCATTATCAAGTTATCTTACATACAAGAAGTCCAGAGATAGAAGTACTCTAGGCCTGGTACATTTTGGCTCTGCTACACTCCTTTGAGATTTTTCCCTGTTGGTTTCATCTTTGGATTTAACGTCATATCTGGATATTGTAGCCATGTTACTCCGTCCAGACGTAGATAATGGTCTTATCTTTTAGAAGCCCCAACCCCCAAACATATTGCCCTTCACTTTTCCTTGGCTAGAACTGGGGCCTGTGTCCACCTCTAAACTAATGGCTGGTGAAAAGAATGAAATCATTATTAGTTTGGTCCAGTGGTTCTCAGTGTATGATTTGGGAAACCCTGGAGATCCCTCCTTTTAGGAGGTTTAAGGTCAAAACTATTTTCCTAACACTCAAAGATTATTTGCCATTTTCACCTGTTTTCTCACAAGTGTACAGTGGAGTTTTCCAGAGGCCATGTGATTTGATGCTGCAGTAGATGGAATTCAGAAGCAGATGCAGCTTAGATGCAGAAATTAGAGGTCTGCAAAATGTGATATGATGCCACAACTATTCACTATTGGGTGAGGGAGCATAGTTATTTTTTTCACAAAAATTCTGTTTTGTTCATCTGTAATGGATTTATTATTTTTAAGTGAAATAATATTAAAATGTTTTAATTTTTAATTGGCAAATATTAATAGTCATAACCCACATAAATAAGCTCTTTGGGGTTGTCATAATGTGAGAGTCCTGAGGTGAGAATGTTTGAGATCCACTAGTTTAGTTCAACTAAGTTTACCCTCTAGAGCTGGTGATCGAATCTGGCTTTGTTAGTAAAGAAGCAGCAGGAGTAATGGATGTTAGATAGGGATACAGCAGTGTCTGCTATGCTTACATTCCTTCTATCTGTGGTTCTCAACCTGAGCTAGCATCAGAATCACGGGAAAACAAATCACAGAAAAGTTAAAACTCAGAATGTTGGGCCCTGCCTCCAGTATCTGATTCAGTAGGCCTGAAGTGAGGACCAAGAATGTGCCAAAACCTAACAGACACATGAAAAGATGCTCAGCATCGTTAATCATCAGGAAAATACAAAGTAAAACCACAATGAGACAGAATGACTCAAATTAAAAAACGTAAGAAATGACAAAGTGTTGGTGAGAATGTGGAGAAAAAGGAAACCTTGTGCACTGTTGGTGGGAATGGAAAAATAGTATGGAGGAAGCATTGGAAAAATAGTATGGAGGTTCCTGAAAAACAGAATTACCATATCCAATAATTCCACTACTGGGTTGACACAAAGAAAATGAAAACACTGATTTGAAAAGGTTTGTGGCAGCATTCAAAATAGCCAAGATAGGGAAGCAATTCAAGTGTCCAACAATAGATGAGCAGGTAAAGAAATGGTGTTTATACACAATAGTATATTATAACCAGAAAAAAAGGAGATCTTGCCATTTGCAACAACATGGATGGACATAGAGGGCATAATGCTAAGGGAAATAAGTCAAAGACAAATACCATATGATTTCACTCCTGTAATTTTAAGCCAAAGAAATTTTGAAAAGACTTTTAGGGGCGCCTAGGGTGGCTCAGTTGGTTAAGTTCAAACTTTGGCTCACGTCATGATCTCGTGGTTCTTGGGTTCCACCTGCCTCTGGCTCTGTGCTGACAGCTCAGAGCCTGGAACCTGCTTTGGGTTCTGTGTCTCCCTCTCTTGCTGCCCTTCCAGCTCATGCGCTCTCTCTCAAAACTAAACACTTAAAGAAGAAAAAGAAATTTTAATACAGAAAACAAACTGGTGGTTGCCAGAGGAGGTGGGTGGGGGGATGGGTGAAATAGGTGAAGGGGATTCAGCCAGCATGGAGTAATGTATAGAATTGTTGAATCACGTCACAGACCTGCAACTAATATACCACTGTTGATGATACTTAAGGGGAAAACTTGTTAAAGCCAAAACTTCATAATTCCTGGTGAATCTGATGCTACTAGTGAGGAACTAACGCAGTTGGTCAAGATTTTCACAGCAGTGGTAGGTGCTATTCATGCCCTTCCATACAGAAGGTGAGGGCTACAGTGAGTTAACCACATTCCCTAGGCGTTGAATAAAAGATGGTCATCTACACACCTGTCATCTTCACAGTTTTTTTTTTAAAGCAGATACTGCCCGTTCAAAAACTGGACTCATGTTTAGCAGACATTTGTACTATAAAGAGGGACAAATATTACCTAGTTTCTTCCTAGAAGATACCATGACTTAAAGTTTTGTACCGACAAAGAATATAGCGCTGCAAGTGCAGCGAGAGGCACAAGAGGAGGACCTATTTTTGCCTGTGAGAGGCCTCCTACAAGGTTTCCGCAAGATCACAGGACGCAAGCCCGTTCACTGCCTCCTGCCGCCAGCGGGCCCTCGGGGATCCAAGCAGGAAGCGGGTTGGCCTGGAGTCACGTGGGTGGGTCTCAGCAGCCTGGCTCCCCTAACCGGCCGGAAGTGGCGCGCGCGCGCCTGCTCAATGCGCGCTAGCTGGGAAGTCCTGTCCCGGCCTAACGAGTGCCTCGCGAGTCGCCGTAGTGCTTGCTTGCTGGGCGGGTTGGTGAGGAATGGAGATGGTGGGTGGCTGTAGTGATCGCGGTGGTGGCGATCGCCAAGGCTCTTCCGCGGACCCACAAAGCACCTTTGTGTTGGGTAACCTAGCGGAGGTGGTGGAGCGTGTCCTCACCTTCCTGCCCGCCAAGGCGTTGCTGCGGGTGGCCGGGTGAGGAGAGAGGAGGCGGGAAGCTTACTTCGGGACTTGCCTCGGGCTTGCCCTGGCTGGCGGGGTGGGCAGACACCTTCGGGACCCACGGCTGCCCCCGGCTCCCTTCTCCTTCTCTGAGGTGATGCCCCCATCTGCGTGGTACCCCCGCCGTACCCCTGTCCCTCTCTTGGGCACTCTTCCCAGGGGGACGAGGTGTGCCTTATGGTTGTCTCTGCCCCCTGTTCTCCCTCTGAATCTGTGCCCTGACACCCCCTTCCCGGACTTTTGATCCCGCAAGAATTTCCTGCTGTTCTAATTGGGGTTGTCTGTGAGAGGGAAATGAACGACCCTTCACAACCCTTTGTGCGTTTGCGTCCCCAGCGTGTGCCGCTTATGGAGGGAGTGTGTTCGTCGGGTGTTGCGGACGCATCGGAGTGTGACGTGGATCTCCGCGGGCTCGGCGGATGCTGGCCAGTTGGAGGAGCATTGCTTGGTTCGCGTTGCAGCCGAGGAGCTTGAGGCAAGTAAGACGGGAGCGTCCTGCACAGGCGGTTTCAGGGTTGGTGGGTCAGTCTTCGAGTACGAAATCTTTTTCTTTATAATCCTTATTTTGTATGTGGCCTTATTCTTGGTGATTTAGGGAACATTTTCTCGTGACATGAAAATATTTATAAACACTCATTTTAATAACTATATTGTAAGGATGTGCCATGATTTATTTGACTGCTTTTCAGATGTTGGGCATTTTGTGTATTCAGATTTTTACTATTCTAATAACGCTATGCCGAACCTTCCCTTTACCTGCTTCAAAAAAAACAGGTATTTTCATTGTTTTTCAGGGAAGGCAGCTGGATCTCTTTGATTAGTGTCACATTAAAAAGCCAAGAATCAATACTTAAACCCAAATATTTCAACCTCTGGTCCTGACTGTTCTTCTGTATTGTATCTCTGGGCCCCTGTTTCAAAAGTTGGGCCATACCTGAGGAGGTAAAGACTTGAACTATGAAATCAGAAGGGCAGACTTCTTGAGGACAGGTGACAGTGAGGCTGTGGTATATTATTTGGGAGTGGGACCGAGCTATTTGAGAGTAAATTGCCAATCTAATATTCTTTCACTTCCTCATACGTTAGCGTGCATTACATACAAACAGGAATATTCTACACCACCACAGTACAACCAATGTTCCTCGTGGCAAAATAATTCATTTTAGAATCTTATGCTGTTGTCATTTCTTTAATTTTTGATGTGGAACAGTTTCTCAAGCTTTGCTTGACTTTCACAACTTTGACAGGTATGTAAATTATAGGCCAGTTATCTTGTAGAACATGTTTCTTAGATTCAGATTATGTATCTTTGGCAGGAATATCACAGAAGTGATCCTGTGCTCTTTTAGTTTCATCCTATTAGGTAGCATCTGATTTCCATTTTTGTCTCATTACTGGTGTTATTACCTTTGATAATTTGATTGACATGGTGTGTGTTAGATGTCGCTACTGTAAAATTAGTCTTTTCCACTGCAATTAATAAGTATTTTGTGAGGAGATATTTTGAAACTATGTAAGTATTCCTGTTTCAATTTATTCATTTATTTATATCTGTATGGACTCTTAAGTCTCTTATTCAATGTGATATCATCTCTAAAAGAATTGATTTTAGTGTCCAAATTATCCCCATTTTGGCTAGCAGGAGCCCCTTCAGCTGGCTTCAGGGTCTTTTAGAGATGAATCTGTCACCTTTGAGCACCTCCTTTCTCTCTGACACAACATTTTCTAAGCTCATCTTGTGTTTTGTCTGCTTTAGTCCTGGAATCAGCCATTTCTTTAAAGAGTTCTGGTTCCTTTAGTGGAGAATGGTAGTTGAAATGCATTGCTGTCAAAGGTTTTGCTTCTTTAGAGCCTAGTGGACAGAGCCAAGGAATATATGTATGTGTACAATTATAACTATTATATATATGGAAATTCATGAGTTTGCTTAAGTACATCCAATTCCAGTCCAACACAGAGTTCTTTACAGTTTTCTTTTCTCTCAGGTCATATTTGTACCTCCCTTTTGGACAATGAAAAACCTGGCTTTCATCATTGTTAATGTGTTTGGATATTAGACAAATGCCCCATAAATGACCAATCTTCTGTTTCCGTTTTTCTCATGTGGATTTTCTCCTTACTCTGTTTGGGCTTTGGGACTCAGATCCAAAAGCAGGCTCGTAGGAAACTTTCTTCTTTGCATATTGGTTCAAACCCTGCCTGGTCTGTTTCTAGAAGTTGTCATTTGGAGAAATTCAAAGTGCTGGCATACTTCCATAAAGATGTTCTTTGCAGCATCATTTATTATAAGGGAAATTGAAAACAACCTAATGTTTACAAATAGTCACTAAATGATGAACTGCAAGATGCATTAATGACAAGGGAAAATGTTCATGTTATAAGTGAAGAAGGCAAATTATGAATTATGTTTAGTATAATCTGAATTATTTAAAAACAAAAAAGGAAGAATAGAAAAGAAGTAAGTCAAAATGTTAGCAAAAGTTTCCTGTCAGGGTAGAATTGTGTGATTTTTTTTTTTTTTTTTTTAATGCTTTAAATTTTTTTCTATTTTTTTTTCCTTCAGATTTTTACCACAGCAGGTATTATTTTCATATAGCTTTAAAGGTTTATACAATATAATGGCTGTTAATAGCCAGATGTATTTAGGTCTGAACCTAACTTTGGTGCATACCAGCTGTCAGTCTCTGAAAAAGTTACCTAATTTGGAGCACCTGAATGCTTCAGTAGGTTAAGTGTCCAACTTCAGCTCAGGTCATGATCTCATGGTTCGTGGGTTCGAGCCCCACATGGGGCTCTCAGCTCTCTGCTGTCAGTGCAGAGCCTGCTTCAGATCCTCTGTCTCCCTCTCTTTCTGCCCCTCCCCTGCCCTTGTGTATGTTTTATCAAAAATAAATAAACATTAAAAAAAAAAAAGGAAAAGGAAAAAGTTACCTAATCTCTTTGAGCTTCAGGTTCTATCTCTAAAATGGAAAGACAGTAAGAATTTTCCTCATACCCTTAAAGACTTGTTCTAGGGTTAAGTAATGGAAAGGTAATGCATATAACACATTATCTTCAGTACCAGGGATAGCAGTTTTGAAACTGCTAAAAATGAAATTATTATTCTGTATTATCAATGGCATTTTAAAAATTCATATAGTAATGCCCTTAAAGAAGTTTATTCATTGTAGTAAATGCTACTGTGGTTAAACTAAAATGGAAACCTTGTCCAAATCATACTGTTTTCTTTGTGTTTGCCTCTAGGTTACCTAGTGGACATGACACTTTTATAGCCATAAAGAAAATTAGTTTAACTTTTTTATCAGAAATATTTTCAAGTCTACAGAAAAATTTATAACGTATCTTGCTATTTGGAACTTCTTTGTATAAGGGAGTGGGGTTGCAGTTGTCTCACATTGTGCTTTGAGACCTTTTCATGTTGAGGACTGTCACTGTCACTGCTTCTAGTGAGAATTAGAAAGGAAGAGTCAAGCAATTGCTTTTCATTGGGTACCAGGAATGAGAGAATCCTAAAAACTCAGGACTAGACTTCCTATTTCCTTACTTCCTATACCAGGTATCACAAACTCAAATGACTCCAAAGTTAGGCAGGTGACTAAGTTGGTTTGCTGTGACAGCATAGGGAGCAATAAGGCCATGACAAACCAGGGAGTGCTTGCCTTTGTTTAGCCCTAGTCAAGAAGAATACGGTCTAAGTGTTGTTAGCATGTCTAGTTTTTCAAAAGAATCTGGAAATCCATATTTTCTGTAAATATTTTGTGTAATTTTCAATGTTGGTAACCAAATTGCATTCTTTGAAAATGCCGTGTGGACCAAGAGAACTATACCCTTAGGTCTTATCAACCCTGGGGCCACCACAGGGCCATCATTCTGTCTCAGTTACCTTTTTTGAATTTCTCTATATGTAATCTACTCTGAAACATTTTAACATTCCCCAAAATTACAGTAGATTAACACTTTCTCATTTAATCAGAGTTGAAGTTGCTATATGTGAAGTACTTCATTCCATTCTGGTAGTAAAAATCTTTGAAAATAACCAGTTTAGAAAAAAACGTATGTTCATCCTTTTGTTTGATTCAGCCACTTTGCCACTTGGCTGTAATGTGACATTTAGTGGAAACCAGAAATCTGAATAAGCCTAGCTTCTAAGTGGAGATAAGGCACAAGTAAGAATGACTGGGACGTAAGGTATGTCATATATGAGGTCCAGGGTACTAAGGAAGTCTAAGAAAAGGTTTTGTAGGGGAGGTGGCACTTCAAGTGTCTCTTGGGGGACATAGTCCTAAATTAAGTGGTAAACGAAGAGAGCCGCAGGAGAATGTGCACAGCAGTGTGTGTATTTCTGGATTGTAGTAAGTAAAAGTTTCCCTGGAGGGAACTAGTTGGTGAGGTAGAAATGAAGTCCTGGGATACTTCCATTTGGTAGGCAGTGAAAAAAGGAGCAATACAGTTTGTATACTTTCCTTTGTTGCTCGCACCTTTCTATTAGTGTGATGCCTATTCAGGAAAGCAAAGTAGCCCCTTTTGCTGGCATTTAATGTTTTTATTTAAAAGTTTAAATTATGGGGTTGCCTGGGTGACTCAGTCAGTTGGGCATCCAACTCTTGATTTTGGCTCAGGTCATGATGTCAGGGTTGTGGGAGCTAGGCCTGTGGCGTGCTCCAGGCTGAGCGTTGGGCTCACTTGGAATTCTGTCTCTTTCCCTCTGCCCCTCTCTCCCACTCTATCTCTTTCTCTCTAAAATAAAAAATCAACAAAAAAGAGTTTAAATTATGAAAATGAACATTTTGAGTTAGGCTGGAATGAGTTTGACTTGAAGAAGAAATGAGAGATGTTCAAATGAATGAGCTGAAAAGGAAGGAGCAGAAGTAAAAAATGAGTGGGAAGTGGTTGGACTCAGGTCAGACACTGACCTGAAGGGAGGGTACATCCATGGCAGTTTGGACCAGAGCAAAACTTTAAGGGACCATGAGAGCACTTCTAGATTCATGTGATCCAGTTCCATTTTTGTTTTTTGTTTTTTTTAGCAGAATGTTCACATCTTACCACAGACAGTTCTTTACATGGCTGATTCAGAAACTTTCATTAGTCTGGAAGAGTGTCGTGGCCACAAGAGAGGTGAATATCAAAAGAAAAGGTTTGAGTTTTTGTTTCCTTATGTACCTCTAGAGCTAAATATTGTCCTAGTCTTGAGAGTTACTGACTTTCTCAGGCTCTAGGACTTCATGAATATATTGTCTTTGAAACTTAAGAGACCCTTTTTGCTTCAAAGACTGATTTCTAAACCTTGCAGTACAACTAAAACAGATTCTTTAGAAAGATGTTTTTCTCAAATTGAAATACTTTAGCCATCCAGGCACTTTTTATTATTAAAACAATGTATATCTTTGGCTATTGAAGCCTTATGTTGTGTGATGGGGACCCATTTAGGGAGACCAAAGTTATCTATAGATACCATGCATGCTTCTTGGCTCTCTAAGAGCAGAAGTAGACTAGGTTTCCCAGGCTGGGCACACTGAGGTTCAGGTCTAGACCTGTGTTATCACTGTCTAATTTGAATCCAGGTTCTGTCTATGCAGTGAAACAGTCATGCTCTAATATCAGCTAAACAGAGAGGTACAATAGCAAGTTAAAATTTAGCTGCTGCTGTTAAATTTAACATCACTGAGGCAAAAGCAGTATATGAACAAAGCAAGAAAGGCAAATTGGTGATGTTAAAGGTCAGATTTAGAATTTTAACTTATAAAATGGGCCCCAAATCGGAAAATGTATTCATCAAAGTTCTTAGACTTCTTTATAAACCATTCTGGTGTAAATGATTTAAACTTTATTCATTGTTTGCTCCCCCCTGCCCACCACCATCAGATTTGATCTAAAATGAATGTAATAATTTTGCTAATGTATTATTACAGCAAGGAAAAGAACTACTATGGAAGCAGCATTTGCCCTTGAGAAGCTATTCCCAAAACAATGCCAAGTCCTTGGGATTGTGACCCCAGGAATTGTAGGTGAGAGAAAATACCCATTTGATAATTTCTTGCCTTGCGTTAATGTGGGCTCCTATAAACTGTTGAATTCTTTGTAGCTTAAAACCACATTTATGTTTTTGGCCATCCAAAAATGCCAAAAAGTTACTCATATTTACCATGGTATATTTGACTTCTATTAGTGTTCTTTAGATTATTGTGGTTAGTATTCCCAGTCTCAGGGCTATCTATAAAAAACAAATGTGATGCATATCTTTCCAAGAGCCTTTCATAAGAGGAAAGAGCTCACATACTTCCTCTCTCCAAATCAGAAAGCATTAAATGCTTTTGTCAGTTCAACCAGGATTATTTCTGGTGGGCACGGGTAAGTTAGGGCTGGGAATAGGAGCTACCAGAAAGCTTTTGTTTCTCTACTTAGATATCACTGTTTGAAGTTTATAGCTATAGCATGAAATTATAACCTTTTCCAAGTTTGCTGCTGGTGAATTTTTGCTGTTTTTTATTATTCTTGATTCTTTTTTTTTTTTAATTTTTATTTATTTTTGTGTGTGTGTGTGAGAGAGAGAAGAGCGCATGCAAGAGGAGAGGGGCAGAGGGAGAGAGAGAGAAAATCTTAAGCAGGCTTCACACTTAGTGCAGAGCCTAGTGCAGGGTTCAATCTCCCGAATCGTGAGATCATGACCTAAGCCGAAATCAAGAGTCAGATGCTTAACCAGCTGAGCCACCCAGGTGCCCCTTGATTCCTTTCGATAGTTCATGGGGGAGAGACATTCTGTTGAGGCAGTCATGGTACAGTGGTTCAGGTACCTGGATTGGAATCCTGGGTGTACTATTTAGTCTCTGTATGACCTTGGGCAAGTTACCTAACTTTATAGGGCTTCAGTTTCCCCATATATGAAATGGGTATGATTGCTAATACTTCTTTGGAGGATTGTGGATTAAATGAGTTAACATGAAAAGTAGTCAGAATAGAGATGTGCAAGAATCAATGAGTAAATGTCAGCTATTACTATTTTCTTTGTTCCACTCAGTAGTACTCCATAATTGGCATTTTTAATCTTCACTGAGAGACTTTTGATCTGAATTTAAGAGTCTTAACACAGTGAAGTACAAAGGATTTCAAGTGTTTACAAATGAATAAGGATAAATACATGGTTGATAGGGACTATTTCATCTCTACCATTATTGGCTCCTCACCCCTATACATACTATTATATCTGCCAATCACCACACATTTTGTTCCTCATTGGATTAAAAAAATGATAGCAATAACCATGGTTTTAACTTTTGAATTTTCCTAAAATGAGTGGTCTAGGTTTACCATTACTAGTTATTAACAAATGCTTATACAGAATGGTAGCTTCATCATTTTCTTATGCCCCCCCCCCCACCCCCACCTCATCCACCATGGCATTTTCAAAATACAGTCACATTTCTCCTTTTTAAAATTTTGGTTGGGGGACGGAGGCAGGAGAGGGAGGGTGGACTTGTTGGGGGGACCCCATTGTGAGAGTGGGAAGTCTAGCCTTCTTTTTGTGCTTGCTCTCTTCTGGAGTTTTAACTTTGCTTGTCTATTCCCCCAAGTTCCCTTATGATCTTGATGTCAGGAGTAGATGCCATTCCAATTCTCGTGTTTTCATGGACATGCTTTGTGTTTTTGGTACCCCTGCAGCTAGATGCTTTCTTTGAGCCAGTTCCATGCATGTTCCAACAAAACTACCGCCAAGACAGTGGTTGGATTCCTTTTTCTTAGGCCACAGTTTAGTGATTATTTCTAAAGCAACCATTGACTCCTAGCCCATCTTCATTCTTTAGGTTAGAAAAATTTCAAGTTTGAGGAAATTTGTTCATTCATATATATGCAAAGATCATTTTCTTTCTTTTAAGATAAATTTTACTTACATGACCTGCACAATCGTAAGTGTACTAAATTAATGAGTTTTGACAAATGTATACCCTTGTGTAACCTATACACCAGTCAAGATATAGAATATTTCCGTCACCTGAGGAAGATCTGTCATGCCCTTTTCCTGTCCATCTCTGCCTGCCAAAGAAACCCTGGTTCTGATTTCTGTGACCATGGGTTAGATTGCCTATTGTTGAATGTCATATAAATGGAACCATATGGTATATACTCTTTTTTTGTCTTGGTTTTTTTCATGCAGTATAAATATTTTTTAACACCATAATATTTTTGAGATTTACTTATTTTTTTTTAATATGAAATTTATTCTCAAATTGGTTTCCATATAA